GCCCACAGTTGATGTTCACTCCCAGAATTGAATACAGTAACGTTCGCTTCAAGCACCATCGTGTTATCCACTTAGCTATTGAATCCTGAAAGCTACTAGCTTGTGCAATGAGGTGAAATTTAAATTCACTTGGTATTGTTTTACTTGAAACTTCCCGTTGAGTCCCATAGTGAACATCAATTCTGGAATGTAAGTACATCCAGCTGACGAGTCCCAGTTGGGATTAGATGCGTATCGTGAACTCCACTGCTAGCCATCATTGATTGTGACTCAAGGCAATATGGAGGTACATACACCAACAAGAGATTGATCAATTGCATTCTTAAACATCAGTGGGGAAATTCAAGCAAACTATATAATGATAAATTAGAGCTATGTATTTATTTTTTGAAAACAACAGTTTTCATCAGTCTGTAATCTCACGTAATAAAACGGGCTGATTGTCAATGTAATAATCGTAATTTTTTATTTTGACCCAAATTACCTTATTGTAAAGAACGAAAATGTAGAGTAAATATTTAATCCTCTCACATATATTGAATACGTTAGTTGTACCGGTATTTTTCGACTAAAGTCATGTTTCAGACTTTTATAGTTAGTTAATAAAAATTAACTGCTTTAAATGTTTTATTTTGAACAAATAATGAACATTAACAACAGTTAGATTGCATTAATCTTGCTTGCCAAAGTGTTGATTGATTTTCGTCTAGTTATTGTGTTTATCTGTAAATCGGTTACTGAATTCCGAGTCATAGATTTTAGGGCAGTGATGGTATTTTATTAAAAAATTATTAATGTATTTCAGTTAACATTAGAAGCCATTTGGGGGGCGGCTTCAACTTCATAATTTATTTCTATATCAAATTGTCATTCATGTGACCATATATTGTAATATATATATCACAGAAGGGTTTTTTGTGGATATTATAGTAATTCCAATGGTTGAGATCATGAGTCAATTAAAGCTAAACCACCATTAAAAACGTGGAAGCATTGGACGGCCGTTTTGTTCTATTTCGAGGTAGTGGATGCGCACTGCCAAAGAATTCCCACAATAGGACGAAACGGCCGTCCAGTGTTTTTATTTATATACATTTATATAGAGGATGTTGAAACGTCTTTCGTCCTAGAACCACTCATTTTACTTCTTGAAAAAATTTACATTTAAGTGGTTATTTATTTTATTATTTTTTCGGTTACATAATAAATTAGAGGGACAGTTTTTCTAAAATTAACAAATTACAATACAGGTATCTATTTTATGATAAACCTTACCAGCGAACCGTTTTTTTTTACAGTTAACAGTTTGAACGTTGTTCTCTTTATCTAAGTCAATTGAATGTTTCCTTAAATACTCAATAAATAATCAATAATTAAGTGCTGATGAAACAGTTAACTAAAACACATTGATTTTTCCATATCAGAACTGTTGATTGTTGCTTTGAGAAAAATAGTTTAATCGATGTGTATATATCTAGCGTATAATGAATCCATTATTTGTTTAAAAATAATATTTTTTTCTTCCTATATAATGCATTTCACGCTTTGTTTAAACTCTACTAATATTGGTAACTAATATCATTAATGAAATTCTCTTTAGTCAAAAAGTCTAGTTTTAATGTCCAAAGCATATATATATATATATATAATGAAGTAATTAGGACATAATTACATCATAAATTATGTGAGCGTGTGAAAAGACTGTTCTTATTATGAATTGGGGATACCTTACTTACTTACGCCTGTTACTCTTCGTGGACGAGCATAGGCCACCCACCAACACTCTCTGTTCAACCCTGTCCTGGGCAATCCTTTCCAGCTCTTCCCAGTTGTTATTCATCCTTTTCATATATGTTTCTATTTCCCGACGTAATGTGTTGTTCAGTTTTCCACCTGCCGTGTAAGCCCGGATAAAAGAGGAGAATTAGGGATGGGGTTAGCTACTCTGTCCCGTAGAAAAATAACTCGCTAAAAAACTGTAAATTGGAGATAAATGTTCACTTATTTTTTTTATAAATGAATTAGTTTACGATTTCCTTGATAAGTATACGATTGAAAGTTCCGCCTTATCACAGGTGATATTGTAGTAACAGAATACTAGTGAGGACAATCGAATGCATGTGAGCGTATAATTACAGAGCATCTCAATAAAATCTGAAAACCATGTAGTAAATTGTTAATTTACAAAATATCAATACATCATATCAAAATTGACTGTTCCTATGGCAAACATCAATCCATTGTCTCAGATTTCATTGTTCATGCGTTTTCATACTGATTGCGTTGCGTTCCTGTTTGTTCCTCATCGACGTTTTACTGAAACACATTCTATGCCTGACTACCGTTATATACTACTTGTGTAGATATAAGTAACCCAGACCACAATATGAGAAAACAGATTAATTATGTTTGACGGATTAAGTTCATATTATTAATGATCTTAACATTTCGACACAAGATCAAATATTGATGAAATGTAAAATGGATTTTTATAAAAAATATAAAATCCAGTATCAGTCAATCAATCAGTCATGTATAATGTAGAGCCTGAAATATACTTGGATCAAGTTAAGTATTGCGAAATGCCAAAGGAATAGGAGTGGTAACATCATAAGTGGTAGTGGAAGAAAGCTGACATAAACATTATGACTCGTGAAGAAAATATTATTTCGTCGAGTAAGAAAGCATAAGATTTGAAAAAAAATTAACTAAGAGAAGATAATGAATGAATACGTCTGTACAATTTCAAACAATTTTAAATCATGTCACCCATCGTCTCCAGACATGCGTCATGATAATTATCAAGGTCTCAACAAATTAATTTTTATCTACTAACACAGTCTGAGCACAACACTAAGAATATGAGGCCTAGTCAAAATGGAATTCTGAAACTCTGGCAGATGATAGTTACTGACATATATTACCGACAACTTTGTATGGTGATCACAAATAAACTGCTGTGTTGTGTGTAAATTATCTAAGTTTCTCAAGCTGGTCACAAATTTAGAATGTGAGGTAGTGAGTATATACTGCTTAGGAGTTCTAGATTAGGTATTGAAAGAATGCCTAAAAAGTTTATTTCATAAACTTTATTTATTTTAATTTGATATTGTTAAAAACTATAACACTTTAGAAGAATAGAAGTAAAGTGTCTATTTCATTGATAGATCCGTGAGTATAATATGTACAAATAGTCACGTTAGCAATTCATATAGCACTTCAAAGATGAATGGGCACAAAATGTGTATTGATTTAATAATTATTTGTATATAATCTTGATTTATACCTGTGCGACAATTAAGAACATCTCAATCTACTCTCACATAGAAACTGTAGGCAAAGTATTCAGTCAATGAACAGGCTTGAACAGAATCTCTTTTTTTGCTTCAATGTAGATAATGGGTAACGAGAAAACATACTATGCATTGTTCTGTGACCAAATTTTTTTAATGGTAGGCTCATTTGTAATCATCAGATGGTGATGAAACTGTCTGACATTAAAATAACAACTGCGGTACATAGAGTTTTCATTCTTTTAACTTTTACATTTTCATATCTTATCATTTGTCGCTTGAAATTGAGTCGATCAATCTATACAAATGATGTGGTTATAGTTAATATGTATGAACCTACTAAGACAAAACTTTGTAGAATCAAATAGATAGATTTATTGAAAAGAATGAAGCAAATGAAACTCGACTCGAAATCAGCTGAATCTTGATCAAAGAGCATCGTGTTGCTTTTGTAAATTAATACGAAGTTGGTACAGTTTATTGAATGAGGCAAAACGCAACAAAATGTAATACATCTCTTTGAGGAAATTTAATTACAAATAGTTGTCCGTTTTATCTTCGAAGACGTGGGAACTCATCCAGGTAACAACTCGTCAAGTAGAAGGACGTATTGCTCTTTTCTTCGTTTAAATGAAAGTATATACCTAACACTGATGAATAAAGTTAAACGAAAGGAAATGAACGACGATAATTATTTATTTACTAAACTCATATAATTGTATTTACAGTCAGTTTAGGCATAAAGCGGTTTACATGGTTCGCATGGTTCAAAAACTTATCAAGGTTAGAAAGAGGTTCAGGGGTTCTAAAATCGTAATGAATACAGTAGAGCAAATCATCCATATGTCTCCATAATTATCGGCCTCTGGAGAAATAATAAAATCGTAAAAACTCATTCAGCCTCGAACACATAGCTTCAATATTGTCTGTGCGTACTCCGGTTTTCGTGTCCAAAAGTGCTGTTTGTGTATAAAGACACGATGAATATAACTAAGTCTATGTAGCTATCTGTACGCTCTCCAATCATCCGTATATATTGTAGTACCCGGTAGCAGCCAGTATTACTGGTGCTCTTATTATCCAGCTCACAACATAATTTGCCATAATTTTCCATAATTTGTCATAATTTGCCTTAGTCTTAATCTGGATCAAGCGAAAATCCCTATTTCAGCCGATTTCTTCCTCGAACATACACAACATCGAAAAACAACATCATCACGTTAGTCTGCACAGGGTCCACAAATCATTTGATTACCTTAATCACAAACAAAGCAACTTTTTAATAGTCCCATTTATTGTAGTCGTTAAATTATCACGTTTTCTCTGAAATTCACTGTGAATCAATCGTACATAAGCATCAAGTACTGAAATTAGCGCCATGACCTTGAAAACCCTGAAACGTCTCTGATTGGCTCGTTCGTAAATTATAGTTTTACCAATATTTCTTTTTTTTTTTAAATGCCATGGATACTCATTTATAAATAAGTTGGATTATGGATGAAAACTTCATTAACATTAAGCTCTGTGTAACCATTTCACATTAAATAGAAATGATTTTTATTTTTTATTTTTTATTTTAATTATTCAGTTTAACTATGTTACGTAATGATAATTGTAATAACGTTTTACGATTTATATTTCATATCATTTTTTTCTATGTTTTCCTTTATTTTATTTTGTTTTTTTCCGTGTTTTTTTTCTGTTTAGATCATAAACAATGACTTGTCAATAATATATTGAATATATATTGAATTAAATTGATCCATCTATGCTATTCAATAACTTAACTACCTAGCAACAAATGAAACTATATTCATTAAATTTTTTTAACTTTATTAATTTTTTATTAATTTTAATTATTATTACTACAAATTATTGTACATATACATTGATACATAATAATAATAATAATAATAATAATAATAATAGAAAAATACAAAAATATAATTCATTAACTCAGACCATGTTTTTAAGTGAATTAAAAAAATTAAATGTTTATTTACTTGAAGAAGAATCAATTGGTAGAGAAGTAGCTAATTTACAATTTCCAATTAATCGTATGAATAATTCTAATGAAAATTATTTAATTAATCATAATAATGAAGAAGAAGAAGAAGGAAAAGAAGTAGAAAAAGAAAAAGAAAAAGAAGAAAAAAGAAAGAAATCGAATTATTATCAAATATTTAATAGTGAACCACAATCAAAATATTTTCATTTAGATGCAAAAACTGGTATTATACGTGTTGCTAGACGGATTGATCGTGATCAATTATGTCCATTATTTAAATCATGTTGTACATATTTAAATCATCCTAATAATAATAATAATATAAATTATTTTAATAAAGATTTTAATTTAATTAATAATGAACAATTAACTAATTGTCAATTAGATTTAAATATTCGATCAGATGATCAATATACTAATATTATTACTGTTAGTGTACATATTATTGATATTAATGATAATTCACCAGTATGGTTATTAAATAGTAAATCAGGTTTATTAAATTTTCCTGATGATCATCAAAAACAGGTAACTATTTATTTTCTTTTGTTTTTGTTGTTGTAAAATATATATCTGAATATAGTTTTCATGTGTTCACAATGGTGTCAAGTTCTATTTGGGTTATTATTGTAATAAAATAGTTGCTTTGTAATAAATGAAAAATTAAATGGGGATAACTAATTTATTTTGATGGAGTTTTGTTCTCTGAGCTGGATGGTTTGGTCGTGGAGCTTTCATTATCAGCACAAACTTCAGATAGAAGTGAAGTGTTCGAATTTCTCCATATGTGTTTTACAGCTTGTTCTGTGCACCTCGATGTTGATTGGTTCTCATTGACCTTAAATTTGTCATTGTTTACTCCTTTAATTTGGGTGTTTCTCCCATTGGTTTGATTTTTGTTCCTATATTTGTGCATAATTTTTCTGGTTGATTGATAAATTGGATTGATTTCAATATGCTTGTTGATTGCTGATTGACCTGAGTGCCAGGTTTCTAAAAATTCTCTAGCGTTTTTGGAATTTCCTCTGTCCAAGATTTCCACATTTTTCCAATCGAATGAGTGTCCGCAGTTGTCCACGTGTATTGATATAAGTGAGGAATTATCGTGGCGTTTGACTGCTAATTGATGTTCATGTAGACGAAGGTGAAGAGGGCGTCCGCTTTGTCCGATGTAGTGTTTTTCGAAGTTGGCACAATTTATTTTGTAGCTGATGTTTGATTTGTTTTCCTTTGTTATTTCATCCATTGGTTTACATAGGATTGATTGTAGTGATTTTGTCTGTTTTTGTGTCACACCTAGGTGTGGCACACCAATTTATCTGACGTTTGTGCTGTTGATGTCGTCCAGGAGAACGATGAAAGCTCCACGACCAAATCATCCAGCTCAGACAACAAAACCCCATCAAAATCATCCACCTGAGCTACAAATCTTTTCCACCATAACTTATTTATTATTTAATACATAATTACAAATTGTTTGACGAGACTATAGTTTATGGATGAACCAAACAGATTAGGGATAATAAGTTTTGGATTTTGACGCAAAATTCATTCAACAATTTGACCAAATTATGTCTTGGCATTTTAGTTGATGTCAGTTTGTGATGAAAAATCATAAATCTCATTCTGAACCCTAATCATCAACTGTAAATCATAATCCTTACTCTTCATACTGCTTTATAACCATCATTTAGCCCTAGTAAGTAGGTGGACACTCTCAAGATCACTTTGGCGTCGCTCAAAGGTCGTCCATAAATTATTATATCACCAAATAAGTCATTTGCAGATCTTACATCTATTGTTCTTCATATTCTTCCAAGTTACAATTTTTTTCTACCCCCCTTTTTTTGTTTTCGTCAACTCGGTTTTTCTAGCCTGTTGTCAGGTTTTCCGTTTCCCATTTGTGTTACATAATATTTAGGTCTGTCGATATAAGTAACATACGCCACAACTTTAGTTAAGGTAGCTTAGTTCATGGTAGAAAAAGAGTATATTCACAAAGAAATAGGCTAATTATAATTTTATATATCTTTTCAAGTAACGTACTTTCTATCAGTCAGTTGTACAAAAAATGTCATATACCTTGAATTCAATTTTTTTATTAAATCTGAAGAGGTGAGCTAGTACCAATGGATTAAAACCATTTTAAGACGAACTTTATAACCTGAAAACTACGTTTTCAAATATACACCATTGTTCTACAGGTTGAAATCATGAATCAGTTGAAGCTAGACCACCATGGAAAACCTGCAAGCACTGGACGGCTGTCTCGTCCTGGTATGGAACTCCTCAGCAGTGCGCATCCACGATCCCGCACCGCGCGGGGCTCGAACCCAGGACCTACTGGTTTCGCGCGCGAGCACTTAACCACTAGACCACTGAGCCAGCATCCAACGGTGTTAATGTCTAACTCCAACCAATCCACGAAGTTGCGCCACCGTACACCATTGTCTTCAGTGAGTTGATATCTCACAACAGACCTGGTTGAACTCCACTGGTAACGGCTTCTCACTAGAACTTCAGGAGTTTTTCCTGAAGTCAGTCACTAGTGAGCAGTTGATTATTATTATCAGAATGGGTTTTGTGGAGATTTTAGAAATTTCACTAGTTGAAATAGTGAGGTAATTGAAGCTAGACCACCATTGAAAACCTGGAAGCACTGGACGGCCGTTTCGTCCTGGTCGGGGACTCCTCAGCAGTGCGCATCCAGGTTTTCAATGGTGGTCTAGCTTCAACTGACTCATGATTTCAACCTGTGAAATTTCTAAAATTCTCCACAAAACCCATTCTGATAATACACCATTGTATTCATTATCCAATAAGCTATAAACAAATCTAGCTAATTGGGTTCTGTTCACTTCAAAAATTAAAACTTCGTATTCGTAAAAAGTATACTGTAATCCAGTCTAACTATATTCTTGTTTGTTTTTCTTCATAAATATTTCGGTCTATATAAAAAAGAATCACTTTTCAACATCTAAACTACAACAAACAAAAAGGACTTATAATCAATAGATACATTTTTGTTGATAATTGTATGAATTATTTAAATTATTTTTTTCTGGTTAGCGTTGTGTATTTTTTTTTAGCGAATTGGTTATCTACAGAATGGATTCGCTAACCCTATGCCCAATTCTCCTCCTTCTATCCATATTTGGGATTGTCAGTAGCACTAAAGTGTCTCCAAGTAGAGTTATTATAAGTGTACATTCATTTAATTTATAGATTTTTTCAGTCACTTTTAGATTTGCAAATATGTTTACTTTCTAATGTAAACTTTTATTTGTTATAATTTCGTAAATATTTTCCTTATTGAAATATTTACATTTTATAACTTCCTTCATATTACTTATACGGTTTATGTAATGAATCAGTATGACCATTGGTATTGTTTAAACCTTTCACTGTATTATGTTTGTTTAACGAAATACGACTTATGTAACCTGTTATTGGAATACATGTTCAAATTGATTTTGTATTGGAATGTAGATAGTTGAGAAATATTTCTTATGTATATTAGCAAAATTCTTAAGAAATTTCAACAGATTTTTTTATTAACAGAAGAAGTTTGTAGAGATTTGAGAAACATTTCACGGATTGAAATCATTAGTCAATTGAAGCTAGAACACCATGGAAAACATGGAAGCACTGGACGGCCGTTTCGTCCCAGTATGGGACTCTTCAAGCATGTGCTGGAGGTGGGACTCGGACCCACGCTCACATCGTGGATAAGAAACGTGGACGAAACGGCCATCCAGTGCTTCCAGGTTTTCAATGGTGGTCTAGCTTCAATTACCTCACTATTTCAACTAGTGAAATTTCTAAAATCTCCACAAAACCCCTTCTGATAATAATCACCGTATGCTCACTAGTGACTGACTTCAAGAGATACTCCTGGAGTTCTAGTGCGAAGCCGTTACCAGTGGAGTTCAACCAGGTCTGTTGTGAGATATCAACTCACTGATGACAATGGTGTACGGTGGCGCAACTTCATGGATTGGTTGGAGTTAGACATTAACACCGTTGGATGCCGGCTCAGTGGTCTAGTTGGTTAAGCGCCTTGAGCAAGACTGATAGTTCCTGTTTTCGAATCTCACGGGGTGCAGGATCGTGGATGCGCACTGTTGAGGAGTCCCATACTAGGATGGAATGTCCTTCCAGTGCTTGCAGGTTTTCCATGGTGGTCTAGCTTCAATTAATTCATGATTTCAATCAGTGGAATTTTTTTATTATTAATTCAATGAGATGGGTAATAATAAACGTTTATCTAATAATTTAATAGTTGAATTCATTAATCAATTAAAGCAAGACCACTATGGGAAACTTGGGAGCACCGAATGGCCGTTTCGTTTTACTGTGGGACTCCTCAGCGGTTCTTATCCACTGTCCTACTCCATAAGATTCGAACTCAGAACTTTTCAGTTTAGCGCATGAGCACTTAACCTTTAAACCACTGAGCAGACCGGCATCCAATGGTGTTAATGTTTAATTCCAACCAATCTGATAGTCAAAAACTAATTTCAGTCACAATTGATTGATCACTGGGTGGTGATCAATGTCATGCTTGTCTAGTCCTTATTAATGCAGATCGAATGCTATCGATCATGTTGCAATGTGGCCACCAGTCTAGGTGACTGGACACTGCGGGCACTATGTATTGAGATTTAGATGGTGGTTGGAGGTAGTCAATAGGAAACCCTGGACCCGGGTTTCGTGCTACTTGGCACTCGTCAGCAAGGTGTACCTGTAATCTTGAGGGAACTGGTGCTCTATGGCGGATTCGATCTCGTGTCACCCAGCTTCACAGTCAGAGACGTTACCACTGAGCTATCCGAGCCGTGACTAACCTCCTGTAGGACTGAGATGTAGCTCAGTGGTAACGTCTCTGACTGTGAAGCTGGGTGACACGAGATCGAATCCGCCAGGGAGCACCAGTTCCCTCAAGATTACAGGTACACCTTGCTGACGAGTGCCAAGTAGCACGAAACCCGGGTCCAGGGTTTCCTGTTGACTACCTCCAACCACCATCTAGTTCTCAACTAATTTCAGTATTATTTAAGGTTGGCAAAAGTGACAACATCTAGATTTTTTTAAAAATGTTATGCTTTTACGGCTGATGATCTATTTTAAAAAACTAGGTGTATCTATATTTATAACTGCATGGTTAGAGCAAGAATGTCAACAGTATGTACTTATTCGTTTTTATGAAAATTTTGTAGATTATTCTGATGATAAATACATGAAGTCTTAAATGGAAACACTTAAGATGTTTGTATATTCTCTTTGTCTATCTTCTAAAAAAAAGAAAAACGATTTTATTGAAACTGATAGATTAAATATAATAAAGGATAAAGACAATTTCGTTCATACATATGAACTGGTAAAAAATTTCCACGACAAACAATAAGTGACAAATATTTATAAAAATAGATTTTTGAGTGATTGCTATTTGAATGAACTTCACCTGTAGCTCTTCTAAGGCTAGCGCCGGCACCAAGCCCAAACGAAGGATTGGTCGTGGGGTCAGTAACCCCATCCCGTAGAAAAAACCTTGCTAAAGAAACGCTAACCAGAATAAACACTTTATACCACTTAAGTTCTGACCCAAGAGGGATCAAAGGAGCACTAACTTCAACGTGCCAGGAGGATCTGAGCGACAAGTGGCATCATCATAGGGAATGGATTCCTATGAAACCCTGGACAAGATTCCAGAAAGAAAGAACAGCAATTAACAACGACCGAACATGAGCAGAGAAAGTCAAGGCACAAGCTGAATACATTAGGTAAACAAGCAAGTGAAGAAGAGCATTAGAATTGACAAGCAGAGATGAGTAAAAGAGCTAGTAGCGACAACGGCAAAGCTTCAGGAGAAGGAAATATAAGCAACTATATGACACGACGAAGAAACTAGCACGGAAATATAGGACACCAAAGACACCGATCAAGGACAAACAGGGCAAGAAAATCACGGAGATTCAAGAACAGAGGAACAGATGGGTGGAACACTTCGAAGAACTCTTGAATAGACCATCCCCACTGGACATCGAAACAGCACCTATAGACTTTCTTTTAGCTAATACTACACCAACGATCACAGAAATCAGGATGGCCATACGACAAATCAAGAATGGGAAAGCAGTAGGACCTGGTAATAAACCAGCTGATGCACTGAGGTTAGACACAGATGTAAACGCAAACATGCTCTACGTTCTATTCAGGAAGATTTGGGAGGAAGAACAAGTACCAACACAATGGAAGAAGATACCCCATCAATATTCCAAAGAATGGAGATCTGAGCAAATGTGAGAACTACACAGGCATCACACTGATATCGGTACCAAGAAATGTTTTAAACAAAGTGTTGCTGAACCGGATGAAAGACGTAGTAGATGTCTCAATTAGAGGTCAACAGGCTGGATTCCATAAAGATCGGTCGTACACAGACCAAATCGCGACAATACGGATTATCGCTGAACAATTAATTGAATGGAATCCGTCACTTTACATCAAATTCCTTGTTTATGAGAAGGCATTCGACAGTATGGATAGGAATTTCCTGTGGAAACATCTCCGACACTATGGTGTGTGTACCTGAGAAGATCGTCAACACCATACGGGATTCGTATGACGGACTACAGTGCAAAGTTATGCCTGTAGGTCAGGTGACAAGTGCATTCCAAGTGAGGACTGGAATCAAACAACGCTGCCTACTCTCTATCTTTCTCTTTATTCTGGTGGTCAACTAGATTATGAAGACCTCGATATCTGTCGAGAAGTACGGAATAAATTGGACAGCTTGGATGCACCTAGACGATATGGACTTCACAGATGACCTGGCCCTTCTGTCCCATACATATCATCAAATGCAGGTCATAACAAACAGTGTAGCAGCAGGTTCTGCATTAATAGGCTTTAACACACACAAGCGGAAAACCAACATCCTCAAATACAAAACGGAGAACACCAACCCAATTACTCTTGATAGAGAAGCTCTGGAAGATATAGAATCTTTCACGTACCTAGGAAGCATCATTGATGAACCAGATGCAGTCGTAAATGCGAGGATTGGCAAAGCGAGGGCTGCATTCTTACAATTGAAGAACATATGGAACTCGAAGCAACTGTCAACCAATATCATAGTCAGAATCTTCAGTAGGAACGTCAAGACAGTTCTACTGTATGAAGCCGAAACGTGGAAAACTATCGCAACCATCATCAAAATGGTACAGATATTTATAAACAATTGTCTTCACAAGATACTAAATGTCCGTTGGCAGGACGCCATTAGCAACAGCCTGCTGTGGGAAAGGAGAAACCAGGTTCCAGCTAAAGAATTATTTGGGAAAATTCGTTGGAAGTAGTTAAGACATACATTACGGAATTCACCAAACTGCATCACAAGGCAAGGGTTAACTTTGAATCGTAAAAGGAAACGGAAAAGAGGAGGGCCGAATAACACGCTGAGTTGGGAATTGGATGCAGACATGAAAATGATGAGTAGCAATTGGGAAGGACTTTCCGGAACAGAGTTGAATGGAGAGTGCTGGTGAGAGACCTGTGATCTTCCATGAGGAGTAACAGGCGTAAGTAAGTATGTAACTATTTGAATGCATGTTAAAGAGAGAATCCATTGCAATAGTGTATGATGGCTGATACCAATTTTGAGGTCGATAACATAATTTACAGTACTGCATAATGCAATCATTATCGTTTTATTAGTGTATAAATAGGTGGAACAACATTCACGTTTAGGATCTGCTAAACAACACTTTCCTAACCGATGAACATCGATTACATATTTATTTCTGTTTATTAGGTTGGACAGGCCCTTCATTCTATCATTTTAAAAGGTATCTACTCTGTTTTTAAAGTTGGTAAATAACATCCGTTGGCTTGTAGCACATGTGCATTCCACTAAAAGGGTGAAGTTATATCGAATATTCATATTGTTATATCACAGTGATAAACTTCAAATAACTATCGGATTTCAATCTTATTACATATCTTATTTAAATAATGTTATTATGTTACTTAAACTATTTGTATACTTAGTCTGAATAGCATTAGATGTAAAAACTATGATGTTATATTGATGAAAATAAAATCGTTTGACATTAATTGGAAATCATTTGATTTTTATGTTTCAAGGATGTGATGCATGTTTACGTATCAGAAAGTAGCCTTATCGGAGATTCCATTCAACTAACGCCTGCTGTAGATCAAGATGCTGGATCAAATAACATTATGAAATATATGATTGAACCTCAATTTCCTGAATTCCAGTTAGAATGGACATCACTTGATAGAGATGCTACAATGGCAAACAATCAATTCTCTGGCGATATACAGTCTAGTGATATTCAATCATATTCTGATCATTTTATCAGATCACCACCTGGTCCGAGACATGAACTTCGTTTAATTGTTCGAAGCCTATTAGACAGAGAAACAAAATCTTTATATGAATTCAATCTAACTGCTATAGACGGTGGATCACCAAGTAGAAATACAACAATCAAATTACAAGTTCATGTCACAGACTTCAATGATAATTCTCCGATATTTGAAAAAGATACATATACTGTGGATTTGCATGAAAATGCTCGACCACATACACCAGTTATACAAGTAATTAATTTTCGTATGCCTATAAAATTATTATTTTGAAGACTGGTAACATTTGAATTCTTCTTAGAGTATTACATTATTCTGTGGATTATTTTTGATAACGATTTCACATGGTTTATTTAGTTATACATAAACTTCGAAAATGTCTAAATTCTTAAAGGTTTGTGGTTTTACGGTGTGCAAATATTTATGTCTGGATTTTGATCAGTCTCTCTCGGCATATATACATCTAGAACATGTGCTTCAATATAATCTTTTTTCAGTATGTTTAGATTGTGTTTAACAACAGGATCCGGAAAACAATCTTCATTCTATTTTGAGCTCATCATTCTGGAGTTTTTCAATCCTAGGACTCAGCTGCTAAAGTGATGATTATATCAGTTAGACATTCTTTATATTATTCTCTAGAGTTTGAAATTGATAGGTTTTGCGAATTGAACGCTATATTCGTTTCCTAAACTATTCTGTAACCCCTAAGCTAGAACTAGACAGCGACCTGAACAACGAGGGAGAAGACGCAAAGGATGCGAGAAGTAGTTAACTCCAAGGTTCATTTCAACACAGAAAATACAGGTTTTTTATAATATTTTAAATGTCCTTGGGTTTCTAGATAATTCTGGAATGCTACTAAACATAGTAGCAGTGTAGCAATCAGCCAACCAGAACCTCTACATGTGACGTTTGAATTCCTTAATATTTTTGGCTAAAACTTCAAGTGAACGCTGATTGGATGAAACGCTTCTTAGTGTTTCCTGATGCTTGCTTGTCTTTTGCAAGAAATTTTCTGGATCACTCCAACAGAACTAAACAACGTATATTGCCTGGACAACTGACAGTTTCGTTAAATCAAAGTACATGTAGTTTACTGAAATCGAATTGTGTTGATCTCATTAACGTTATAGCTGACGAGGTTTGAATAGAATTCATCAGCAATATAAACTGCCATAAATTTGGCAAATTATACAGTAGATATATACATACATATTAGTAGTAACTCTTTTAAATACAGTATATATTTATTAACGTTCTTTCCTGGGTAATCTTTTATCATACTCTGAAAATAATACACAATCCAAATTATCACATATATGGTTTGTTTATATTTTAACTTACTTAATGATCATATTTAGTTTAATAATAACAGTAAATTATTCGGTATGAAAATAGGATCAAAGATTCATTATAGTTATGTTACTAGATTAGATTTTACTCTGTTGGTTAACAAGTTATATAAATTAGGGAAAAGAAGAACATTAATTCAATAAAAAAGAAATTTATTATTAGTTGTCTAACTGTAGAATATTTCTTCTAAGCCAATATTAATATAGCGAATATATAGATTCTAAGTTTGTATATATTTCTCTGAAGAGTTTCGAAGAAAAAAACAATCTATTTAATAACATTTAAACATTGAAGTTTGTAGTATAGAATCCATCAATCCAAATTATCCAAGTCTTTCTGTAAATTTCACAGATTGAAATCATGAGTCAATTGAAGCTAGACCACCATGGAAAACCTGAAAGCACTGGACGGCCGTTTCGTCCTAGAATGGGACCCCTCAGCAGTGCGCATCCACGATCCCGCACCCCGCCATTTCAAGCTGTGAAATTTCTAAAATCTCCACAAAACCCCTTCTGATAATAATCATCATATGCTCACTAGTGACTGACTTCAAGAGATATTCCTGGAGTTCTAGTGCGAAGCCGTTACCAGTGGAGTTCAACCAGGTCTGTTGTGAGATATAAGCTCACTGAAAACAATGGTATACGGTGACGCAATTTCATGGATTGGTTGAAGTTAGACATTAACACCATTGGATGCCGGCCGGCTAAGTGTTCTAGTTGTTTAAGAGCTTTGCGTGTTCGAGTCTCGCAGGATGTGGGATCGTGGATGCGCACTGTTGAGGAGTTCCATATTTGGACGAGACGGCCTTCCAGTGCTCCCAGGTTTTCCATGGTGTTCTAGCTTCAATTAACTCATGACTTCAATCTGTGAAATTTCTAAAATCTCCACAAACCCCTTCTGATAATTACTGTAAATGTACAATCAATAGTTAAATGGTATTTCCTTAGTCATGTAAATTAATCTATGAATAGAAGTTAAATGAACTGAGATATTATAACACTCGTTGTATGTTTAAACTCATTATTTATAAATAATTAATCAATCGATGTTAACTTTATAATCTCTAAACATTTGAGGTATGATTGGTGAATTTCATCCACAAAGGAACTGAAACAGTCATAAGGGACGTCAATGAATGAGGATCGTGCAACATAGTAAATTGATTATATATATGCTTGTGAACTACTGGGTACTGACTTAGTTATCTATGGGTAATACTCTGAACGTGAAACCTGAAAAGCGTAGTATTGTATGATAAAGTATGATAGAGTGTACATACCACCGTTTCTGATTAAGATTTCACATATGGGACGACAGAGGATTTTGTGAAATATTACATGAACTTTGACGTAGACTGATATCATAAAAAAAATTATCCGTCCTTATTAAATCTCAACGCTCTGCTTAAATGATGTCCTGGATTTGATCCTTAGTAGTGGTTGTGGATACCTACTTCTAAGGATTATGAAACTTGAATAATAACATTACAAAATGTCTTCTTGCTTTCATTGATTTTCTAGCAAACTTTAATGTTCGGTAAAATAATGCTTAGAACAATAATGTTTAGAACAACTATATTTTCATATATGATTATGTCCCTAAATGACGTAGTTTTAGTGGCCCGGGATCTGACTTCAATGAGATCGTATGAATGTTCGTTATTGAATAACTGCTGTTGAAATATAGATGTCGCCTATCCTCGTATACTTCATCGACCTAAATCGCGTTATTTAATAACAGGATTGAATAAGTCAAATACGAGAATAGGTTTTGAATACGTATATTTCATATAAACGTTGTTCCAGACAAAATATCGGCGAAGCAAAGAGAAGAGAGATAAGCAAATGACACGCAGTGGAGAAGGCATGTGAGTCAACATTATTTAACCAAGCATTAATCGATACTTATGGTCACACAAAAATAAGCTACAGACATGCGGCGAGTAGGATAAGACGTGTACACACATACGTTTATATAAAAACAGTCAAGTTTGATAAGTGAATATGATTAACAAAGTGAAAATGTGACTCAACTAGGATAGATAAATTGGCCTGTCTAGTAGCTAGAATAAGGTATATGGGCAATCGACACTACATAGTAACCATTTGATATAGCCTTCATCTACATTACATATTCACCTTACATTTGAAGTATATTTATTAGACGTCTAAACTAAAGTGAAAACAATACAATCAATGCTTATGAGATAAATACATTTATGAGTCAATTCATATAACCTCAGAATACTATTGATAACGGTTTTTTCCATTCAAAACCACTGTGTTAATGTGAGTAATAATAATAATAATAGTAAATTTAATTACATTTTGATGCTTCTATAAATTTAAATCCTATTAGGCGCCATTTTTATTTGTTATTTTATTTTGTCATTTAATTAATTAAAAGACAATTCAATTTTTATAGATAAATTATTATTGAATAAAGCATGATACAGTCAATATTCATAATAAAATGAAAAAAACCCAAATAGATTATAATCATACTGCATGCTTCGTTTAAATGGTTCCTCTAGTTTTTTTTTGAGTGACTATATATAGTTTTTATTCTTGTAATAAAATTCATATTTTTTTAGTGGTTGAATTTATGAGTCAATTAAGGCTAGACCACCATGGAAAACCGGGAAACACTGGATGGCCATTTCGTCCTAGTATGAGACATCTTAGCAACATGCATCCACGATCCCGCCTCACGAGATTCGAACACAAGACCTGTCAGTCTCGTGCGAGAACGCTTAAAATCTAAACCACTGAGCCGGCCGGCATCCAATGGTGCTAATGTTTAACTTCAATTAATCCATAAAATTTCGCTACCGTCCACTATCGTCTTCAATGAGTTACTATTTCATCACAGACCTGGTTGAACTCCACTGGTCACGGCTTCTCGCTAGAACTACAGGAAATACGTCTTGGAGACCGTCACTAGTGAGCATATGATGATTATTATCAGAAAGGGGTTTTGTAGATATTATAGCAATTTAAAAATTGAATTCATAAGTCAATTGTCAAAATTCTCATTTTGACAGTTGGTAAATAAATAAGCAAGGGATCGAGCAAAGAAATTTCTTCTCAATTAGTTTTCATCGTATATAAGGAAATAATACTCATCGAGTAGATACGTTATGTAATAATTATATAATGACATATCGATTATAAATTAATGTTGAGTAATTAGAAGAAAGAGGATTAATAATAACCAGCAATTGTTAATGTTCATACGACTAATGTAGAATATTAACTTGAATCAGCTAATATGTTAAATGAAAGTTTAAGATCCATGATCCGAATGTATATGGATTAGATAGAGTGAGAGAAATAATAGTGCAATTACAGTTCGGTCAAATGTTTAGTGGAAGGCTATATTGTGTGGAAAATTAGTAAGACGTAATAAGGAGGGATGGACGCGAAGTGAATGGATCACGTATAGGAGGGGATTAATAATGTTTAACCAATAGTAATAATAACAATCATAATACAAAGATTTGTGAATAAATATTACAGAGACAATTACAATTCACTACGAAAGGTCGTAAGCACAATAGTCAAATTAGTTCATTCAATAGCTAAGATTACTATTGACTAATTGGCCTTGAGGTTGGCCGGGAGAGGAGAAGTGCTTGAAGATATTCCTTTTGTACGCATAGCTCAGGTTTCTTCATCCGGATGGCTACTACTACGACCGCTAGAAAAACTCAAACTATTGCAAGCATTGGCAAGAAATTACTGACCTTATAAATTATTGAAAAAGACTGGTTTATACTGGCACTATGACCAGTTTGTACTAACCAGTAATTATTCGAAAATCAAGCAGTTGTTACGTTGCATAATATATTTTAATTTTTCGACTATTTATTATGTTCGTTAATTGTAAGGCTATAAAATATATTGAGAAATTATTTTAAAATTAAACTATAATTTGGGTAATATTCTATGAGTTATAGGTATTCATTTAAGCATACAGTCAGAATGATATTAGGTCGGTAACATGATATCGAAGAGAAAAAATCACTTCATTCAATTAGTGAATTTTCTTTTTAATGAAAATTGTATTCTAAATAAATATGTAGATTGGTATCTGATTATTTTGAATCACATCAGAGATCATTATGACAAATGAAACATGTAAATCATTGGTATGGTTAAGGTAGTTAAAGGTGGTCGCATAGATACTTTATATCTTAGTTTTGTGTTATTTAGAAATTATTGACAAGATGTAGTGTGATTTCGAAAGAAACTGAAGATTTTCTGGTGATTCGAACCCGTCCAAAAATAGAAGAACATGCCATCTATTTCAGCAGTTGTTAATATCCGGTAAGACTTGGAAATTTAACCAGCACCAATGACTATTCAAATGTAACCTAGATTACTACTTAATAATCGATCACTGTAAACAAATAATAAAAAATATATACACTATAACAACATGTTAACAGTTTAGTTCATTATTAGAACTTTTCAAAGAAATTGATTCCTCTGGTAGAAAATCATATTGTTGAATAATTTTAGATTTCCTGATATTAAACTTAATACAACTTATTTTGATAATACCTAATTACTTATATTTACAATCAGTTCCTAGAATGGGACACTGTAACTGGTATTTTGAGTTTACTTAAATGTACGCTTACATTTCAATAAGTAAATATTATATGTCTGTGTTTATCTATATGTGTGCATATGTGTGTGTGCGCACTTAACTAATAGGAATCCATAAATAGAAAATGAATAATGACAAAAGGTGATCATAATAAAAAGATCCCGCTCGTGGGGTTCGAACCCAGGGCCTTCAGTCTTGCGCGCGAACGCTTAGCCTACTGGATCGTGGTTGCGCACTGCTGAGGAGTCCCACAATAGGATGAAACGGCCGTTCAGTGCTTCCAGGTTTTCAATGGTGGTCTAACATCAATAGGTTCATGATCTCAATCAAAAACGTAACAATCTCCACAGTCCCTATACTGATAATAATAATTTGCTTTTTCTCTTAAAGCTTTCCTACATTAAGTTTGTAGAATTTTTTTTAAGTAGTGAACAATTTAAAAAATTAAAATGATACAAATAAGTAGAACAACATTTTAAAAGGTTGTGAATGATCTGGTGATTTACAAAACTATCAACTAATTGATCTACATTATGTTGTTGTTTTTTATCATTATGATACAATTATGATCTATTATATTTTTATGCATTAAAGTTTAGTTAATTGTCATTATTACTTCATTATAAAACACGTAAAGGATAATAGAGTATGATTTTAATCGAACTAATAAGTAAGATTAGTATCAGGTAGTAACTCAATGATGACAATAGTGGATGTGTCGCCCAATTTCGTGGATTAGTTGAAGTTAGACATTAACACCGTTGGATGCCGGCTCAGTCTCAATTTCAAAACGAAGAACAGCAATCCGATCACACTTGATGGCGAAACTCTGGAAGATGTAGAATCCTTCACATACCTGAGAAGCATCATCGATGAACAAGGAGGATCCGATGCAGACGTAAAGGCGAGGATCGGCAAAGCAAGGGTCGCATTCCTTCAATTGAAGAACGTATGCAACTCAAAACAGCTGTTTGTCAACCAATATCTAAGTCACAATCTCCAATACGAACATCAAGGCAGTTCTACTGTACAGAGCTGAAACCTGGAGAACTACGACAACCATCATCGAGAAGGTAGAAGTATTTATAAATAGTTGTCTACTCAAGATACTCAACATCCATTGACCGGATACCATCAGCAACAGCCTTTTGTGGGAGAGAACAAACCAGCTTCCAGCTGAAGAGCCAATTAGGAAACAACGTTGGAAGTGGATAGGACATGCATTACGGGAATCACCAAAGTGCATCACGAGGCAAGCCTTGAAGGGCAGCTGAAAAAAAAGAAGGCCAAAGAACACATTACGTCGGATAATAGAAGCAGATATGAAAAGGATGAATAACAACTGGAAGGAGCTGGAAAGGATTGCCCAGAACAGGGTTTGATGGAGAATGCTGGTGAGCGGCCTATGTTCCACGAGGAGTAACAGGCGTAAGGAAGTAAGTAATGCCGGCTCAGTGGTTTATTTAGTTAAGCGCTTGGAGTGAGACTGAATGGTCCTGGGTTCGAATTCCGCGAGGCGTGGTCGTGGATGCGCACTGCTGAGGAGTCCCACAATAGGACTAAACGGTCGTCCACTGCTTCGAGGTTTTCCATGGTGGTCTAGCTTCAATTGACTCATGACCTCAACTGTTTAAATTAATAAGTAAGAACCCATTTTACTAATTAGGTTTTATGTTGAATCATCAATCGTTTTCATTGAACTACTCAATATCATAACTAACTAACTAACATAAACTTATTCTTTGACTATTTTCTTTTTAAACTAACTACTTGAACTGGTTGGTTTTTATGTAATCTCTATTATAATATCATGAAGATCATTTCGATAATGTAAATTCAAACTAAGTCAACGATTCCTAATAATTCTAATGATAGCAAAGATAGATAGTGGCTACCAATGGAATTCAGGATATGCGTTTAGTCCTATTTGGGACTGGTCAGCTGGATGTACCTGCTTGTGACTTATTGCTGTATCGAGGCAATGCGTACAGGATGCAAATATGCCAATTGAAGTCATAAATAACAATGGAAAGATACAAGTAAAACAACACCAAGTGAATTTAATTCTAATAATAGTCTAAAATATTTTCATTCTTTAAGATAAGCTCATGAACGGCCTATGCTCCTTCACGAGAAATAACAGGCATAAGTAAGTAAGTTTAAGATAAGCTGTTACTTTCTGCTTAAAGATAACTTTACAAAAAATATTATAATCCAACTGTTATATCCGGTGAAGATTAAACTACAGGTAAATTCCAAGGACTATTCATAGACTAATATTCTATAAATATTCTTATTGTATAACTACTCAACAATTACACTATGGATATTTATATTCCTTTTATGATAAGCTTTATTTTGATCTATAATTTATTATTGTACGATTTACGGTTCTTAAGTTATGTTCAGTTTATTAACTACTGCCTCCCACATTTACAGCCACTTTTTGGGCTTATTTGTGTACAAATATTATTTCCTATTTTATGGTACGTTGCGGTCTGTGTGATTGATATATAAACCAAGTATGCATGAAATAAACGATTCGATTTATATTCGGAAGCTGGTATTGTGTTCTGTACTCAAGTGGAAGGTCTCGTAGGACATAGGACCAATAAGGACGCTAAACTGCCCACACCGGTTGAACGTCATTGGTTGGCCTAGTGTGAAGATTCGTATAAGTCGTATTCGGATTGGTAGATAAATCGCGTGATCGAAAAGTCAGACATCCAAGGTCATAACACCAACTTCATTCATCTTCATATTAATTTGTGTAATAGATAACTAATAAACATATCTATTTTTTTCTTTCTTACCAAAACCATTTACTTTTAAAATGATAACTCTATAAATGAGTTTGAAATTAAACGGATTATGTTCTAAATTCATTTGGTATTGTTTTACTTGTATCTTCCCATTGTTATTTGGGACTGCATTTGACCAGTCTCATGTTGGTATATGTGCATCCTGTACGCATTGTCTCGATATAGCCTTAACTCACATGCTTTTTAAGCAAAGATGGACGAAGCAAATAGGACGAAACGCGCGTCCTGGATTCCACTGCTAGTAACTATCCATCTTTGCTTAAAAAGGAATATCTTTTATCCCTAATTTTTTCATGAAGTATATAGAATGATGTAAGTAAATAATGCACTAATACAGCCTTCAACATTATATATATTGAGTTGTCATCGTAAATCTTTTCTTTTCCATGGTTATTTAAAGGTTAAAGCCAATGATATCGACGAAGGAAGTAATGCACAAATTAAATATCGAATAAGTTCATTGACTAAACCAGAATTTATACGATTATTTACATTGGATCCAATAACTGGTTGGATACATGTGCAATGGGAAGTGGACTATGAAATACACAAAAAAGTATGTTAATAATTTTATGAATATTTTAGTTAATAATATAAGAAAAAATATTCCATAATCATCATTACAAACTGATATAAATTAAACGACCATTGAAAACCTGTTAGCACTAACACGAATGTTTCATTGAAGTATGGAGCTATTTAGATGTGTACATTCGCGATCACAGAGAAAATCTAAATCGGTACCTTTTGACTAATATCTAGATCATTGAGCTTGTATTTAATGGTTTACATGTTTAACATATATCAGCTCATAATACTGTATAACTATTTTTCAATGAATTTGGTGAGTAACTACTTTACATTCAGCTCACTGAGACTCGCTTGAATCATACATTCCACTGGTCATGATTTCTCATTAGAAGTTCGGAATTTATCTGATGTTACTTATATAATCGAAGGAATCTCTATAAATCCCGACTGTAAATATATTACTAATAAATTTCTTTTATCTTAGTTTGAATTGAAAACTAACAGAGAGTTTGGAGCCAGTTTCAACTTTTAATTTAAGGCTGAAGTCTTTTCTAGTAGATGAAATGCTTTAAAGATTATAGTTCACTACATTATTACTATTATTAAACATTTTGATAGGGTCATCTAACCACAAGGCTACAGTTATGTTATACATAATAAAGCAATACCATGAACAACGAAGATTAACTATTGTTCTAAAGATATAAAAATTGGTTATCTTGAACAGGATCTCTATACTTTTTAACACAATTATTAATCTTACTTTAAGTCCTCAGACAATTTAAATATATCTGTCCATTAATCTTTAAACTCAACTCAAACAAAATAAACTACAGTCACTATTACGTTTTTTGTTTTATGACTATACTAGACTGTTGTTACAGTATAACTTTGAGACTCTCAAAAATGTACATAGACTTTTATGTGAATTTCAAGTTTCTTATTTAGTAATGAACCAATGGTCTATATTCTAAATGTGTCGATTCTTTATCTTGTACTGCCATCATTTAATCGTTGTCGGTTTTATGTGTCACTATATAGCTCATTGTCACACAATATCTTAAGGATGATTTTTTATTTATTTATTTGAACACATAGATACTGGTAAAAGTAGGCACCAAATACATATGTGCCACACAAATCTCATTTCATTTGTGTGAGGGCTGTGATACTCTCAGGGTGCTCAAACCGAACTAGGTAGTTTTCTTGTGGGGCCACACCCGGAGCCTTCAACCTAAAGTCCTGATCCACAAAGTAGTGGAGTAACGTAAGGAGATGCAGTCCCATGGTAGCCGGTGACCAACAATTGGTTCATTCTCCATTTGTTCCCTCAGGATACCATTTGTTTGAAATCAGGGTTCTTCAACTCTCCTAGGTAAACTCTCCGTGTTCATTGACCCAGTTTGATCGCCGGACATTCGCCTTTCGTCCTCTCAATTTCGTGAACAACACTCCTGCCACGAGAAGGCCGTGAGTAGGACTTCCCTGGCGGTCGTTATATACACGTGGCCATGTGAGAGCATTTGGAGAGCGGACTCTCTTCACTCTCGGCCATACCAGGGCATTTGGGGGCCTTAAGGAGGATTAGTAAGTTATCATCTTTTTTGGAACCAATATACTCATATTTCGAAGTGTTCTCATTATTTCATAAATGAATTTGAACTAACTGATAGATAATTTATCAAATTGGAAGAAATTATTATGATCAATCAAACATAAACTGAAATGTATACCAAAACAAAATTCCTAATGATCATTCGATTCAATGATAACTTTTAACCTGCGAGATATTTAGACATTGGATACAATAAAAACATATTACTGTTTATGATTGATAAATTATAATGATAAGCTGTAAACAATTAATAAACACATAAATCATTATTCAATTTAATTAACATTAGACAAATAATTAGTATCATTTTAAGAATCTATCTAATGTCATATCGATTTATTTTAACAGTTGCCCATAATGTCTAACAAACAATTTATTAATATCAAAAAGAGGTTTTTGTGGATATTTTGAGATCATGAGTCAGTTGAAGTTAGACCACCATAGGAAACCTTAAAGCATTTGACGGCCGTTTCTAACCTATTATGAAACTTTTCAACAATGCTTATCCACAAGCCCGATGAATGTGTGGTTCAATTTCGTGTATTGGTTGATGTTGAACATTAACACCGTTGGATGCCAGTCGGCTCAATGGTCTAGAGGTTCAAGCGTTCACATGCGAGATTAATAGGTCGTGGATTTAAATCCCAAGCGAGGTATCGTAGATGCACATTGCTATGGCGTTCCACAATAGGATCAAATAGCTGTTCGATGTTTCCAAGTTTTCCATGGTGGTCTAGCTTCAAATAACTAATGATCTCAACTGTGAACTAAACAATTTATTATACTTTATACGAATATTCGTCAAGATTAGAACGAATAGTTTGACAGTAATTGAGCACCGAGTATAGAGAAGTCATTATATGTGAAAATTATATTTGAAATATTCTCAGCGATTGAAATTTAACTAATTCCAACGTTTCGTCCAGCTAACTTGTCTGGACTTCTTCAGGGTAATAATCAAAATCAAAATTATCAAAGAAATATATAGCTTTTAACAATCAGGATTATACTGTGTTAAACCAATCATATTTGGGTGTTGATTTTTTGTAAAATAGGATAAAATGAGTCAGTTGACTACAAATCATGTGATGAATTCAACTACATGGAAATACTTAACTGAGTAACAAATCGTATGTGTGTGAGTGTGTATGTATGTATGTATGTGTGAGAGATTGATATGAAGGAATAAATAAAGTTCAAGTTCAAGGATGAAAAACGTGATAATGAAAGATCGATGTGCATGTCAAAACATAAATTGTATTTTCACAGATTGAAATCATGAGTCAGTTGAAGCTAGACCACCATTGAAAACCTGGAAGCACTGGACGGCCGTCTCGTCCTAGTATGGGACCCCTCAGCAGTGCGCATCCACGAACCCGCACCACCCGGGGCTCGAACCCAGGACCTACTGGCTTCGCGCGCGAGCACTTAACCATTAGACCACTGAGCCGGCATCCAACGGTGTTAATGTCTAACTTCAACCAATCCACGAAGTTGCGCTACCGTACACCATTGTCTTCAGTGAGTTCCTATCTCACAACAGACCTGGTTGAACTCCACTGGTAACGACTTCTCACTAGAACTCCAGAAGTGTCTCCTGAAGTCAGTCACTAGTGAGCAGGTGATTATTATTATCAGAATGTGTTTTGTGGAGATTTTTAGAAATTTTCACAGATCTCCACAAAACACATTCTGATAATAAATTGTATTGTTTAGAAACTCATTCAGTTCTTTCAATAATAATAATAACGATGCATGTGATATTAAAAACAGGTTTAAACAAGAGATAGGTTCCAAATTTACTTGTCAAACGGAATTTGCCAGGTAGTTGCCATTTGAATACCATCTTTTCGGTTCAGGCTGTTCTTGTTCGCCCATATATGCAGAGCTTCTGCTGTCAATCTTTCTTTATGGGTGTTAAAACCTTTCTGAAGTATTTTGGTCCCTTCAAAATTAATCTTGTGTCCTGTTTCTAACGCATGTAACGCTATCGCTGACTTATTTTCAAGTTTCTTTAAATCTACCGAGGATTTTGGAACATTTTTCAAGCATTGTTTGTGTTCCTTCAATCTTACATTTAATTGCCTGGATGTTTCTCCAACATAGGTAGCATTACAGTCATGACAGTGAATCTCATACACAATGTTCTGTTGTTCTTCCTTTGCTAAATTGTCCTTAACTTTCACCAATGTCGACCTTAATGTGTTATTTGCTCTAAAATACACTCTTATATCATGTTTGTTTAGAATCCTTTTGATTTCTTCTGATGTTTCACTCCGGTAAGGTATGACTACGGTGTACTTCCATTCTTTTCGTATACTTTCTAGTTTAGTTTTTCTTTCATTTTTAATAATCTTTTTTAAAAACCTTTTTGGGTAGTTGTTATCCCTCAGAGTAGAAAATACTTTATTTAATTCGGTTCTTTGGTCTTCCTTGTCTGTAACAATCTTAGTACTTCTGTTCATTAGATTTTTTACCACATTAATTTTCGTGCTCTGTGAATGGGCTGAATTAAAATCCAGCTGTTCGACGTTTCCAAGTTTTCCATGGTGGTCTAGCTTTAAATAACTCATGATCTCAACTGTTAACTAAACAATTTGTTATACTTTAAAAAAAAATAAACAAGAATAACCAACTATGATGTAGGTTGATTTTTCTATATTTCTCCTCATATTATTATAGAAATAAATATTAAGGATATTAATTATTAATTTACTATAGTAATCATTAATTATATTCTACATTGTTATGGTTTTCTTTATTTGTCTGCTTGTTCTTTTTCTTTATTCTACAAACCTACAAGATAGATTATTTAAATTTAAATTAGCCGCCTATCATAAATATACATAGATATATTATATAGTTCATTATTCAATGAATTTAAAGTTAATGAAATAAGTTTTTTTTTTAAATTGTTGAAAATATTCAAGTACAGTTGAAAAACTTAATAAATAAACAAATAAATAAAGTTTAAAAAAAATAAATAGAAAATTCGGCGAGACTCTAATTTATGGACAAGCCAATCAGAGGCGTTTTAAACGATTTCAAGGTTACGGCGCCAACTTCAGTGCTTAATGCTAACGTATGATCGGTTCACAGGGAATTTGGTACAAAAAGTGATAATTGATCGGCTATAACCAATAAAACGGCGAGACTATAATTTGTGGACGAATCAATTAGATATAAGATAATAGATCTCGGATTTTAACGCGAAAGCTTTTCATCCATCTAGCTAAATAAATTTCTGGCATTATAGCTGATGTCAGTTCGTGATAAAAACCTTATATATAATTCGTAGCTAAGGGAAATTACGACAATTACTGCGAACTGGATAGTAAAAGCACCAGTAACACTGGCTGCAGTCAGGTACGACAATATATACGGATGTTTGGAGAGCGTACAGCCTCCTA